TATATTGAGTACATGTCCTCACTCCCTGAGATGAATGCAAACACCATGTACTCCAAACATACAAATAAAAACAGTGGCAAAAATATCAAAGGTGAGGGATGGTTAGGGGCATGGACTCAGTAGACAGTTATCTCTTCCTCTCTCCCCTCTCCCTTCTTTTACTCTTTACCCTTCTTCACTGGTACATTCCCACCTCTTTCCCCTCCTCCCTTGGCCCTCTGTAGTCATCGTCTCTCTTTTACCTCTATCATCGCTCACTCTTTCTCTTTCCTTTTCAAAAAAGATTTTATTACTACACATGAGTTGTATAGTATCATGAGTCTCATTTGGCATACTTGTCCATGCATATAATATGATTTTATATCCATCTACTCATTGTAATAAGGCAAAAAAGCCAGGAAGTTGATATTTCCACAGTTGACAGGTGAATAATGAAAAAGCAATCTCCCCATTAGCTTCCCCCTCCAGGTGGGGTGCCTCTTAGGCACATTTCATCTCTCAAATTCTGCACTGGAATTGAGTGCCATTTGCCCCCAGTGTCACCTGCCTGATAAGGCCTTTTATTGATTTTTCCCCTTTTCATATTCTCCCTCAAATAAGCAGCTTGCCTTCATCCTTGTCTCCCTCCCCTGTCCATCTCAAATGTAAAGGCCACATTCTCCCCTCTTTGTCTCTAAGAAGGTCTCTAACTTCCCTTCTTTTCATCTCTAACCATTCCCGACAAGTTTCTCTCTTCTGTTGACTGTCCCCAGTCCATAGTACTGTCCCTTCTTGGGAAGAAGAAGAAGGATGCAAAACACAGAGGACTCTCCCATCACCTCCTGCTGACCAGATGTCAGCTCAAGGATCCCACCAGCCCTGATAAAGCCAGAGACAGTCCTGGTGTGGGAGATACAGGTCCTTAACAGCTTGGGTTGAGGGTGATGCTTTTCCTGCCCATCTGTTTAGGGGCACATTCATGAGATATAAACAAATGTTAGAGAGATGTTCAGCCTTGCTCCCATCAATCAACAAAACCAGAGTGCAGAAGCAAGGCAGGGAAGGAGAGAGGGAGGAAACCTTTTGAGACATGAGAAGTGCCTGATGCTCTCATTTTCCCCTGCCAGTTGGAGAGGCATGTGGTTTAGCCAGTGGCTGTCTACCTCTCCCCCTTGCTCTCCTTTGCTCTTGAACACCAATGGACTATGGACCAGGGCAGTGTATTTGGGTGTATTCCCTTGCTATCAAACCCCCATTCTACACTCCAACATGAGTGCAGACAGGCTGTGTCTGTCCCATTCCAGCCACTTGGGTTGATACTGCTGCATTTTAAAAACAAAAGATGCACCTGGGAGTTGCTAAGATTAAGAATGAGGGGATCTGGCCCCTTATTTGCATAGTCAGCATTCACAGCAAGCCTTCCAAAAGATTCCCTGATTTCACCGAAATAGGTTTGTGAGTTGCCATGTAAGTAGCACTTTCCAGGTACTCCTTGGGTTTTAGTCAAGGAGGGCTCCCTCCTGTATACTAGCACCCCTCATGCTGCAGCACAGGCCCTGTTAAAATAAGACTTGCTTTGATGTTTCTGTAAACCTGAAGATGATTTATTTTTGAAGAAATGTGGGCACCAAAAGTCCCGTAAAGCTACTCAGTAGTAGTGGGAACAAAGTAAATAAAAAGAACTGTTAACACTGAAGAGCTCCAGAGACCAGCACACAATCAAGAATAGCAGCTAACAAAAACCATAGTGCCCAGCACAAGCTGGCATTGGATGGTGACAAGCAACAACAGCAATGACCTCACACCTGGCAGCATCAACCCATGGTGTCCAGCACAAGGTGGTATCAGATGGTAACAGCTAGCAACTACAGAGACCAACAGCTGGCTGTGTCAACTGTTGCCATCCAATGACATCAGGAGTGCTAGCAGAGCTGCACTTTGCTGATTCATGATTTCCATCTGAATTGAGCAAAAAAGAACCCTCAACTGATTGACAACACTTTCAGCAGCAATGGACAGCCAAAGGAGACTTCATCCACAGTGCTAGCAGCCAGGCCACCTGGGAGTCCTGGACAAGCTACAAGAATCTGTCTCTATCAGAAACAGAAGGGATTGGGCAGAGTTAGCTGAAACAGGGCCTACAGTCTGCTCCAGGATGCTTGGGGATATCTCAAATGCTCTTGCCACCAAAACTCGATGTTTGCTTAGCACAGGGCTCTTCTTGTTGTCAAAGGTGATATGTGAGACTGATCCCCTGCTCCACTGACACTACACGGATGTGGCAGAGAGGCTGTTTTCAGGTGATCCAAAGCAGTCTGTGTATTCCTGTTTAGTGTATTTTTCAAATTTTAAGATATTTAATTGACAAAGGTTGTATATATTCAAAGCATACAATGTGATAATTTCAAAGATATATATAGTGCAATGGTGATCCCAATCCAATTAATTAATTTAACCATCATCATGCAAGCGGAACCAGAACTTGTTCTCTCTCTTTTTTTTTTTTTTTGGTATTGGAGATTGAACTCAGGACCTTGCACTTGGAAGAAATGCTCAGTGTTACTGAGCTAAATTCCCAGCCCAATCTTTTTTTAATTTCCAAAAGTTGAAGTCTTTTATCAGAATGGAAAGAGTGGCATGATCAATTAAATATTGTCAGTATTATTTTCAAATTTTTTCATTAATATTTTTTAATGCAGTCACATACCCAAGTGTTCTGAGTTCTATAAACATATCCACAAGCAGGCTAAGACTTGCCAGCCTTTAATTTTGCTTGTTGAAGGGGCTGGGGATTTAGCTCAGTGGTTCCGCTGCCAGCCTTGCAAGCACAAGGACCCGAGTTCAATCCCCGGTACCAAAAAAAAAAAAAAAATTTTTCTTGTTGAGTAGAATCTGAGATGAATCAATAGCAAAATAATTATGAGATTACTTGGATATGTATAAGTTGGTCTGTTGAGCTACAAAATTAGTGGAGCAAAAATAAAATGTTTTCTTTAGGATCAGGAACAAGACAGGATATCCATTTTCAAATTGTTTTTCAATGTAGTATTAAAAGTCTCACAAAAAGAACAGTAAGGAAAATGAAATATTAAATGACATCCAAATAGTAAAAGAGGAAGGAAATTATCTTTGTTGGCAGTTGACATTATTGCGGATAGGTAAGTGAATTAGATATCTTGTAGGCAGTTAGACAGGGCCTCCCTAAGGCACCAGTTCTCCAGGAGCCAACACAGCAAGGAAACAACATGGAAAACAATTGAGATATATTCACTGATTAGCATTATAAAAAGAAGAGCCACTACTTCCCCTACAGATAGATAGCAGTGATTGATATTCTAAATGGGAAATTCTTTATATGTGACTTGTTTCCCCTTTGGATCCCTATTTAATCAATATTACCTGGGTGACTGTACTTGTAATCTTATTGGTTGGTCATGGTTTTGTCCCACCTCATGCTCACCTTGTAAATTTCCATTCAGTCTTACGGTTTTGTCCCACTTTGTACTTGCCTTACCACATGGGTTTGCTGTATAAAACATCTTTGAAAAGTGGGGTGAGTGGGGTTGGGTCCCCTTTCTGTCTCTCTTAGAAGATTTCTTTCTCTCGATAAAGTTTTCCTACTCTTAATCTCCATTGTTCCTAGAATTCATTCCTCAATTTTAGAAAACACAAACTCATGTTTCAGATATCTAGTAGGTTTGGGAGTTACATCTCTTCCCCCTATGTCATGATTTTATATTTTAAAAAATCTAAAGTCTCCAAAACTGTTAGAAATAATGGATGAATTTAGTAGTGACAAAACTCCAAGTCAACATGAAAAAAAATCAAGATTTTAATATTCCAATTACAAACTTCCAGGGAAACAAAATTTAAAAAAAAAAAAAAAGCAGCCCTGTTTACAATAGCTACAAAAATAAAATACATAAGAATAAATTTAACCAAGAAATTGAATGATCTCTAAAAAATTACAAAGCACTGATGAAAAAAACTGAAGAGGCAACAAAAAAATGAAAACACACCACATGTTGGGGATTGGAAGAATTGATAGTGTTAAAATGTCATATAGACTTTTGTTTGTTTGGGTCTCACTATATAGTTCAGGCTGGCCTTGAACTCACTACGTAACCCAGGCTGGCCTCAAACCCATGGCAATCCTCCTGCCTCAGCCTCCTGAGTGCTAGGATTACAGGCATGCACCATCACACCCAGCATTTTTTATTTTCATTTTTTATTTTTTTGGTCTTTTGAGACAAAGTCTTCTTATGTAGTTCAGGCTGGCCTTGAACTCGCTATGTAACCCAGGCCTCAAACCCATAGCAATCCTCCTACCTCAGCTTCCTGAGTGCTGGGATTACAAACAGGCATGCCCCTGCCCAGGATTTCTATTTTTCATTTTTTTGGTTTTTTGAGACAAGGTCTTGCTATGTAGTTTAGGCTGGCCTCAAACTCACAGAAATGCTCCTGCCTCAAACCCCTGGGCATTGGGATTACAGGTGTGTGTCTCCACACCTGGCAAAAATCAAAGACTTCAATGTAAATCTTCAAACTGTGAAAGTACCAGGACAAAATATGGCAGAGTCTTTTAGGACATTGGGCTGGGCAAAAATGTTCTGAATATGACCCCAATAGCACAGGTAACAAAAGCAAAAATAGACAAATAGGAACTGTCAGGAGAAAGGCCAAAGGCCGAAGACCAAGACCAGACCAGGCCACAATAAGCCTTTATTAGGGGAACAGATCTGCCGGGCTGCCTCTGAACAAAGGAGAGACAAAAGCAACATGGCCGGGGCAGGGAGAGTCTTTTCTAGGGACTAGGGTTGGGTTTGTAGGAGCTGAGGCGGGGTTGAGTGAGGTACTGATTAGGCAATGGAGGAGCCGGTGACGTCACTGGGTGGTAGGAGGTGAGCGAGTATTAGGTTACTCTCTAGGCGGGAACAGGGGCATGCTGGGAAGAAGGGTTTGTTCTTTGGTGGGAGCAACCATTTTGGCATGACGTCACACAGGGGCGGGGGCAAGGCACAATAGGAAGAGGGCAGCTACTATACATAATAGTTGCTGAGGTAGTGCGAGACCTATCAGGAACATCAACTAAAAAGCTTCTGTACAGCAAAGAAACAATAAAAAGAGGGAACAGGCAGGTCGTGAAGAGCAGCTGGAGCAACCAGCCAGCGGCCGGTGAGGAACTCGGCAGCGTGGAGGCCCCGCTCCTTTCCCGCGCCCCCCTCCCAGCGACCAACTGGCAGGAAGATGAGGACCTCGGCCTGCCGGGTAGAGCCCACATTCCCTGAGTCCTGAGACCAGCCCGTATCTGCAGCTTGGAGCCCTGGCTCCGACCCCTTGCCTCGCCTCCAGCGACCAGCCGGTGTAATGTGAGGACCTCAGCCGTGTGGTGGAGTCCCCACTCTGTCCCCGCGCCCTGCCCCCAGCGACCAGCCCAAGAAAGGTGAGGACCTCGGTAATCATCATAGAAATGCAAATCAAAACAAGGATGATATGTCATTTCACCCGTTTTAATAGCTGTAGGCAAAAAGACAGAAATAGCAAGTGCTGGCAAGGACAAGGGGAAAGGGGAACTCTCATGTATTTCTGGGTGAGAATGTCTGTTAATATACCCATTATGGAAAACAATACAGAGGTGCCTCAAAAACCTAGAAGTAGGACTACTATCTAATCCAGCAATTCCATTACTGGGTGTGTATCCCAAGATCTTGAAATCAGTTTGCAAAAGAAACATCTTAACTCACATGTTTATTGCAACATTTTTCAAGTATTCAAGACATGGTCTTAGAGGTTAGGAAGGGAGGAGGGAAGGGGAAAGATAGGGGAGAGGGACAAAAGTGATTGAAAACAATCAAGGTATGTTATATTCATGTACCAATTTGCCAAAACAAACATCACTATTCTGTACTGCAAACATAAAAAGTTTTTTAAGAGACGTGAAATCAACCTAAGTGTTCATCAGTGGATGAATGGATAAAGGTAATGTAGTACATAGGCACAGTGGAATATTATTCAGTCACTGTAATGAAATAAATTCTATCATTCATGGGAACATGCATGGCTGGAGCTGAAGGACATGATGTCAAGAAAAATAGACACAGAAAGACAGATACCACATCTTCTCACTTATATGTGGAATTGAAAAAACTCTCAAAGAACGACAGGTTAGAATAGTGCTTACCAGAGCCTGGGAAGGGCATAAAAAAGGGAGGGATGGAGAGCGGGTACAGAGTGTAGTTTGGTAGAAGGAATATAACTTCTGAGTTTCTGTAGCACAGTAGGACAACTATGGGTAGACAACAACTGATTATTTCAAAAGAACCAGTAGAGAGGATTTTGAAAGTTCTCAACAAAAAGAAATGATAGGTGTCTGAAGTGATAAATATGCCGGCTATCCTGATCATATCATTACACACTGTATACATGTGTTGTACTCCCAAAATATATACAACTATTTAAAAATAAAAATATATTTTAAGCTGCTAGTCATAGTTTCAGTGTCTGAACGTTATATGAATTACACTGACATAGCATCACTTAATCCATATTTGAACATTTAGATAATTCCTGTTTATGTGTTTGTATTATAATGAACCTGGCATGGTGGTGCATGCCTGTAATCCCTATACCCTGGGAGATTGGGACAAGAGGATTGCAAGTTCAAATGTAGCCTGGGCAATTAGCTCTTAGTGAGACTCTACCTCAAAATTTAAAGAGGGAACTGAGAATGTAGCTTGGTTTGAAGGTCCTGGGTTCTAACTCCAGTAAAACTAAAAAGTAAAAATAATGATGGTAATATTTTAGAAAGGTATATATATTTCTTATTTTCTATTCTTACAGATAGGATGAGATCCTTTGGAAAGACAATTAAGAAAGGGGGACAGCATGGAGTGCATCACTTTGTCAGCTTTTAGTGCTTGAATATTTCTGCATTTTCAGTGAGGTAATTAACACATTAGCCACTTATGTACCCCTGCTCTGCTCCCTGTTGGGAGCAACACTACATAATTCTAGGGAAAAATCATTTGAGTAGGCCTAGTTCTCCTGCCTACAGCCCAGCTAGGACATTCCAGACATAATTGCATTTTGGCCTCTGGTCACAACTGAGACCTGAGTGATCCCCC